AATAACGTGACAGCACTTACCAATACAAGCATTACCATTCAGTGTCCCACCAGCGGTGTACCAACACCAACTGTCACGTGGACAAAAGATAACCAAGAAATCCCCAATGATGGCAGGTACACAGTTCAGGATGATGATTCACTGCTGGTAGATGAAGCTGGTGAACAAGAGAGTGCTCGATACACTTGCACCGCTGGCAATGTTGCTGGCAATGGCAGTGCTTCAAGCACAGTTAACATTGTTGGTAAGGTTTTCCATGGTTTTCATTTTGATAGCTAAGCCAAGGTGCTTTTGAATAACTTTGTAAATATGGCTGTGCATTAACTCCAACTAAATACACTTGTTTGCCATAGAGCCAATTAAACCAATGATAAAGCTGCCCGAACCTGGACGAGAGATTCCCGTTGGTGATGGCAGCCCAGTGACTATGAACATTGGTGATAACGTGACGGCAGCTTCAAACACTACCATCTCCATCAGATGTCCAGTGAGTGGAGTACCAGCACCAGTTGTCACCTGGCAGAAAGATGGAGTCCCAGTAACTGCTGGAGGGAAAATTTCCCTCATAAAAGAGAAACCGCAATTGATCATCCGAGTAGCTAAAGGAGTGGACAGTGGAAAATATTCTTGCACGGTTGAAAACAATTTCGGGAAAGACAGCTTATCCTCCATAGTCAGAGTAATGGGTAAATGTTTAATCCAGGTTTTTTGAGGTTATTGTGGCAGATTAACCGCCATTCGTTTAGTATAAGAACGAAGAGTTACAGGTCCGATAATTAATGTGTAAATTCCAAAATGTCTAACGTATCTTTAACGAATTCTCTGCCTCCTCACAACTCATCGCTAAAGGGTTTCAAAACTGGGGTGATAAGCCCCATTCCTATCCTGCTCTATGACGAGTAGTGCATTGTCCGTACAATGGGTCTCACAAAAGTTGTGTTTTTTTATGGCCTTCCCAGGACCTTCTAAGCCTAAAATAAAGATTCCTGAGAAACCAAGGACGATAGAAGCTCAAGATCAAAGTCCCATCACTTTGACCATTGCCGATAACCTAACAGCACTTGTCAATACAATCATTACCATTCAGTGTCTCACCAGCGGTGTACCAACACCAACTGTCACCTGGACAAAAGATGGTGAACAAATCCCCAGTGATGGCAGGTACACAGTTCAAGATGATGGTTCATTGCTGATCAGTGACGCTAGTGAAGAAGACAGCGCTCAATACACGTGCACTGCAGATAGTGTTGCTGGTAAAGACAGGGTATCAAGCGCGGTGAAGATTGTTGGTAAGGGTACTTTGATGATTTTGTATTACCTGTTCAGGTACAATCTCTCCTTGTGTAAAGTTAATATCTTGTAGAATATTGAAGTTCATTATGTCTTCCTGTATGGTACCTTTACTTTGACGCCTACTCGTGTTGTTACAATACCTCTTGTTATGTTTAGTGCATCGTGTTATAATCTGCATGGCAAGCCGTCAAATTTGTCCCGGAAACAATCGGCACAGAATGACGTAGCGTGGGATCCCCCAGAATGAGATGCTAATCTATCGCAGGTTACCAGCAGCATTTTTGTACGTTATGCATTCGTCCGCACAAACTTATATAGCTGTGTAGAGAGAACCCTGTGCGAAAGTAAAATAGCAGGTATAGTGTTTATTGTATATATGCTCAAGAAGACAACGCGAAAGGAATGTCCAAGGCACGAAACCTGTAGATCCTCTCTAACCGATAGGGTTTCTAGTATCACATATTTTGCTGTCGCTTGAAAGACTGACGCAAATTTGTAGTAATCGGGCTATTATTAAATCACACAGAGCCCGTTAAACCCGCGATCGATGTCCGCAAGATTGGAGTTAAGATTCCTGTTGGCGATGGCAGTCCAGTGACTATGAACGTTGGTGATAACGTGACAGCAGCTTCAAACACCACCATCACCATCAGGTGTCCAGTTAGTGGCGTACCAACACCATCTGTTACCTGGCATAAGGACGGAGCTCAAATGTTTGAACAGGATAGAGTAACATTCATTGCCGATAATAATTCTTTGGTTATTGAAGTAGCAATGGTGGTGGATAGTGCAAAGTATACCTGTCGTGTTCAAAGTGTGTTTGGAATGGATGAGGTGTCTTCTCAAGTTACTCTCATTGGTAATTTAATTGTACACTTGATATCAAATTTTGCCCAAAATAGAATTTGCCGGTTCTCCGGGTCGTGAAATCATTTTTAAAGAAAAAACTTAGCAAGCTAACTAAATCTAAAAGACTTTTCAGACAGGACTGGCGTAAGAAAAAAAAACTGTTTTTTCCGTTCAGATGAACTCACTCAAGTTATATCAGAAATTCTGCCATAGTTTTTAGTTGCAAAAGGAGATCATGATGAGATTAACTCGCGACTGACAAGTTTGCCGGATATTGATAACTTTCCCTAGAACTCCTTTCCAATAAATAACCCAACTGGAAGTGATTTTACACTTACACAAAGTAACTCCCTTTCCCACGGGTAATTCAGTTAGTAGTAACTTGCAATCCATTGTTATCATAATTAGACATACTTAGATTTACAACTAACAGTTTGATATCCATACAATTTTTGTCAGACCCAGTGCGACCACACATTGCGTCTTCACTTGGAGATGTAACGTCATTTAGTCAAGATTTAGTGAACATTACCATTGGACAAAACCTTCTCACCATAATCGATACTAAGTTGTCAATTCATTGTGAGGCAAGTGGTGTTCCTGTTCCTAAGATTGCTTGGACCAGAGGAAACGAGACTCTTCCTTCAGATGGTCGGATGAGTGTTCAAAACGGAACTCTCGTCCTAGTTGAAATGGAAACTTCTGACAGTGGAAACTATACATGCACCGCAGAAAATACCGCAGGAAGAGCTTCAGTGTCTTCAAACGTAACCGTTGCAGGTAAGCAAGTACAATTTCACATCCTGCTGGTGGAAAAATCTTATGCAATCATGGTCTAAGTCGTTTTTTTTTCTGTTTTCGTTCAGTTCCTACACCGCCAGAAATCATTCGGAAAGGAATTGAAGATGTACAAGTTCTTGAGCCGAAATCAATAGAGGCTGTTATTGGAAGCAGAGTTCTCACAATCAGTGGGAACAATGTGTCAATATCTTGTGGTGTCAGAGGTTTTCCAACTCCATCCGTTGAATGGACTAAAGATAGTGTTCTGTTGGAAGCGGAAGGATCCATTTTAAGCCTATCATCTGTAGACTCTAATGACACTGGTTGGTATACGTGTACGGCAACAAGTCCTGTGGGTTCGTTCGATTCGCAGGGTACAAACCTGTTAGTAATAGGTAGGTGTTACCTTACACAGAGGCATTTAACGAAATGTAAACATTTGGGAGCGTTGTTCTTTTTCTTCTAATTTAGTTCATCTTTCATCGATTTTTATGGTAACTGAGCTTATGAGGGTCTGTTAACTTACATTCTTCTATTGAAGGACTTGTGAGATCATTCATTTCTACAAAAAAATTATTTGGGGTTATCCGAAATCAAAGGAGACATCTACAGTTGCATGAGACTAACGAATAAACCGTTTACCATCTTGTGATCTTTTTCTCGCCTAATTCTGATTGAAAATATGCGTCATGGAGCAGTGAACAGAAACGTTGCGCGATGACTCGAACTAGTATTGCGTCATCACGAACAAAGTGGCTTAGTCCGTAACCACCTCTTATGTCTGGCCGTCTCTCTCCGTTTTCCTATTTCAGCCATTCAGCTTCCCAAAATAATAACTAATAAAGATGACGTTGAAGTGCTCAAGATCGAGAACATATCAGTGCCCGTCGGAGGTCTAGTAACAACTCTAGCTAGTAACAGAGTCAGTATGGTTTGCGAAGTCAGCGGAATTCCAGCCCCTCAGGTCACGTGGGAAAGAGATGGAGTGGAAGTGCAAAGGGGCGGCAAGTTCTACACTATAGACAGCACCAGTCATGGCGATAACGGAAACTACAGCTGTATTGCTAGAAACAGTGCTGGAGAAGTCAAAGCGACATCACAACTTAAAATCCTGGGTAATTATGCATTACGTTGTTTTGCTGTTAAAATACAAACTCTCATTGTTAGCTTGCGTGAGTCCGCTGGCAGTGTCTGTATCATCCCCAGTCTGTACGTTTTTCTTGTAAGAAACGACTTGGGACTAGTCACCAGCGGTGGTATTTAATTCACTGATTAAGAGTTCGATCACAGAGGAAACCCTAGTGACAAAGGTGGTACAAATGTCATTGACTACTTCCGATTCAAAGCGTTTGCGGAGTAGCTAATTTCGCGGGATCGTCATTAGCCCACATAGTATTCATCCGTACTTAACATCTGCATTCCACATCTCCACATATGAACAATAACGTTATACAGAAAGTTTTATTTTGGGGGGGTAGGCTCGTAGTGGGTAAATTAATGTGCCCCTTTCGACTCTACAGCTCTCTAAGTTCACTATCCGAGAACCATTTTGCTAACCACTCCTAAGCTATTTAGAAGCTGAGATTGTTATTAGGGTTAACAACATTTTAATTGACGTCGTTTTGATTTCATTGACTAGCTGGTTCAGCTCCTAATATCAACGGATCACGTGACAGCAGGGTTCATCTGAGAATCGACTTCTTCGCAATAACAATTGGAACCAATCTGACCACACTGGCCAGCTCAGGACTGGAAATCAGTTGTCCTGTCACTGGATTTCCCAAACCTTCTATTCAGTGGTATCGAGAGGGTGTCCCTGTAGAGCCTGGTATGATGCTTAATGTGGAAGAGGACACAGGGACACTATTTACACTAAGTATATCTCATCGGAAAGGAGGAGAGTTCACGTGCAAAGCCAGTAATCCATTGGGATCGGACAGCGCTTCATCTTTTGTTACTGTACTTGGTGAGAATGGTTTTTCAGAAGTTTATAACGATAGCTGTAGACGGGGTGTTCCGTTATTAGTATTGCGTGTACAAACGCCTCACTTAAGAAAAATCTTCATATGGCAACCTCTGTTGTTTATGAGTGATGGACTCAGTGCATGCTGTTTATGGTAGTTCTGTGACATCACTTGAGGGGAAATGTATGTAAACGTGGTTTAGAATTCTCCATAAAGGTCATCTCTGTTGCTTGATGTAGTT